ATACATTGAAAGTTTCACTTATGGTGATTTATAGTAGAGGATTATGATTGATCAAGTAACAGTTGTACTCGAATCCAGGCTTTGGAATTGTATATACGTGTACTCAATGGTTGGACTTATGTGAGACACTAAGCAACATCCCCGAGGAAACCTGGGTGGGAGAACACTGGAACTCTTTGAAAGAGACGTGGAAGGAAACCTGCATAACCGTATTAGGAAGGAAGAAGAAAGAAGACAAGGAATGGCTCTCTACGGACACATGGAAACTGATAGAGGAGGGAGAGAAAGACGATAATGGTGAAGCAGAAAACCAACCAGTGCAGTGCAGTGGAATGCAGTGCAGGAATGAACAACGAAAGGAGAGACTGAACACAACATATAAAACACTGGACGGAGAAGTGAAGAAGAGTGCACGAAAAGACAAAAGGCACTTCTACGACACATTGGCAAGTGAAGCAGAACAGGCTGCAGGTAGGAGAGGTAGAGAGAGACCTGACAACACTATATCAAATAACCAGGCTACCATCTGGGAGGGAAGAGCTCAACGCAGGTGAAACCAATGAAAGATGATAATGAAGGAAACGTAGTTACGAAGAGGGAGAAAAAACGGAAACGATGAGCTGACCACTTCAAAAGTCTCATGAGTCGACCACCACCATCACCACCTGCAAGTCATTCAGAAATACCACCAAAAGCCCAGCTATAGAACTGTCGGTGAAGACAAGCGCTCCGACAAAAGTGAAAGTCGTGAATGCCATAAAGTTACTGGAAGCTGAGAAAGCAACAGGACCAGATGGGATTCCACTGGAAGTACTGAAAACAGACGCAGAGACAACAGCGGACATGCTCACACCACATCACTACTGCAGAAGGTTTGGAAAGAAAGAAGGAGAGTTGCCTGCCGATTGGAACAGGGGGTAACTCGTCAAACTTCCATAGAAGGGCGACCCACGTCTCTACAAGAACTGGCGAAGAGTCATGTTGCTGTCCACCCCAAGCAAAAGATTAGGTCGCACCATCCATCCTGGAGAGACCAAAACATGTTCTGGATTCAAAATATGACCGGGACAGGCTGACTGGCTGGCTGGCTGGCCAGCTGGCTCCAAGAAGTACAAATCATGTGTGGATCAAATTGTAACACAACGCTACACTACGCATCATCATAGAACAGAGCATAGAATGACAGTCAACTCAACTCAACCTCAACTTCATCGACTTTGAAGAAGCCTTCGACAGCGTCGACCGAGAAGTAATTTGAGAGACAGCTGCTTCAACACTACAGTCTTAGTACCACAAACCCTTATCAACCTCATACAACAGCAGCTATATGCTATATGACGAGGCGGCTACATGCCGAGTGATTCACAATGGAAAGCTGAGTGATGCCTTTGAAGTGAAGACAGGAAGGAGTAAGACAAGGTTGCCGCCTACTATCAGCATCGGTCTTCCTGATTGTGGTCGAGTGGACTGGACTAGATAGACCATGCAACGAAGTGTGAGGATCTGTAAGGAGGTGGGGATAGGCTGTTTGACAGATGAAAAGAGCCTAGAAGATTCGGATTTCGCCGCCGATGCTGATGATTTGTGTCTAATGTCTTGTTGCACGAACTCGAAGACCTAGAGGCGAAAATCAACAACGACACCAACAACAAGCACCAATCACCATCAGCAGGAGAAATCTGAAGGAATTTGTCTCTTTCACCTACCTACCTACCTGGGCAGCATCGTTTCAACTACAGGCGGCGGCACACATATGAGGACGTCAAAGCCAGGATCTGAAAGACAGCAAGACAGGCCTTCCTGCATTAATCTGAAATCAGTGTGGAGATCCACTGCGCTGCACTACACTACACTGCACTCAGCATAAATTGTGAACAAGATCCGGATTTTCGACACTAACGTCAGTCAAGTCAGTGCTTCCATGTGATGGTTAAGAGACTTAATGGGGTGTTACGAAAAGGATTTCCAGCAAACTACAGACATTCATCAACAAGTGCCTACGCTAGACACTGAAGATCATATCAGATGGCCATAATAATAAGAATAAGCAACAAGGAACTGTGGCATGGCAACGAACCAACCAGAAGCTATCGCCAAACAAATATGCAGAGGAGAGTGGAGGTGGGATGGGATATCACGTGCTATGCGAGGCCGTCTAGTGGAAGCCAAATGGGAGACGACGAGTTGGGCATCTGAGCTGAGGGTGACATGTAGGAGATGGTGTGAGGAAGAAATGAAAGCTTGTGGGAAATGGTGGAGCCAGGTTAAAAAAGTGCAGATAAGAGTGTTTACTGGCGGCGTACTACAGGTGACCTACTAGGAACCCAAGGAAAATAAAAATAAATGATTTTACTCTCTTGAAAATATGCAATGATTTTAGGATTGAATGAAACTAAATGTTCTAAAAGAGCATTTATATTCGCTGTGGATAGGATAACATCTTCGAAATAATCGTAACATCATTAACACTGGTGGACACGTAGACATAAACCGTGACTAGTTAACTAATATTTAAACAACCAATCATTTGCATGAGTTCAATTTTACTTACGGTCTTTATCCAGCAACAGCCTATTTTGTGTGTAAGTACATGTGTACTGTTGAAAAGTCACGAAAGTGAACGAAATACCTACAGAACAATCTAACATTCTAATCATTGTACGATTGATGTCATACTGCGACTAATAAATAGCCTAAACAAATGTGAACTATTGATCGCCAATCAAAGTGGTAGTTCTCTTTTTTTAAAAAGAACTAGTAAAAGTGTCTGAATACTGTTAAGCAAATTATTATTGATAATGATGGCAAGCTTATTTGTTTATTTTAAAGAAAGGGGAAAAGAAAAAGATTAGTAGATAAATAGTAAAAAGTAGAAAGCGGATAAGGGGGCAGAGAAGTAGTTCAACATTTAGGTTACATCAGGGCATTAATAGCGATTATGAAGTATATATATATATATATATATATATATATATATATATATATATATATATATATATATATATATATATATATATATATATATATATATATAATGAATCCAGGCTTTGTAAATACAAAAACTACACATATGTGTGCACATATACGCAGCTAGGTGTATGCAGGTCATGAAATCCAGATGTTTATGCTACTATGTATGCATACATATTTATCTACATATGCACATAATTCATATTTGCACTTGTATATAGAAATGATTGTAAAAGAAATTTCTTTTTATCGATTATTAATCAATGTTATAAATAAAAGTAGCAAAGAGAAATAAGTTGGAAGTAGATACGTATATTCTATAAAATCTGTCTAAATGTAAAGATAATTGAACACCTTTAGATAAACAAGATATAGTTATTCTTACGGAAACATTTAACCATCATATACATATAAAATACTATTTGCAGAAAAAACAATGGCGACAATGAAGAACAAAACAGTTATCGCTTGACTTACAAACATTAGATTCTTCAGTCCACATTTAATGCTTAAGATGACAAACATGTTAGCAACGTGAAAATTGTGTTGCTTAGTTTACTAGTTTAGAAACACTAGAGCTTCACTGAATCTCCAATAAGATAAACCGAGAATTGAACTGTTTATACTCCATGGTGACTAGTATTGGGATCTAGGACTTGCATATTATCCTATTTGAACTTGTTTGCTCAATTTGTGTTGTAGTCTTTAGCATTGAGCCTTTCAAATGCAAAAGTCTTGTCTACTGAGATATTACGTCATCGCGTCTTCATCGGATTGCATTTGTTATCTGTGTATCAAGCAACATCAAAATGAAACTTGAAACAGTACTAAGACTATACACCCTTAGCTGCTGGTCAATATATTCTGATAAAGTCATTAACAGCAAATAATGTGTAGAAAAGAATAGTGAATTGTGTAAACGACTTTCAAGGGGTACATGAAAGTTTAAATTTCCTTCCTAACAGTTAGTTCTCAGAGTTGCAATGAAGAATTATCTCAAAACTTACAGTGCACGTTCGACGGTAATCACTATCCTTAAAGCTACTAATAAATTGCTGTGTAATTCTTCTTCTTCAAACTATTAGTGGTTGGAACAGGTAACCGTCAGTGATAACACTGGTTGTTTTTCAGTTTCCCCGATAGTTGTCTTATACCGAATCATCTAATAATCATCGCTCGTTTCATACCGCTAATGAATCAAGGATTCTGTCTTGATTGAGTGGATATTAAAAAAATATTTTCTCCCTCATTGGGTCCACCTCCAGTAGGATTAAAACGCGCTTTGTGGCTACTCTTGTTAGGCGATTAGGATTATAGGTCTGTCCTCTCAAGATTGCATGTAATGCCACAACTATATAGTGAACGACACTAATTTCTTTCCCAGTTATGCTAATTTTAAAGGGATTTTTTAAGATGAGAGGATGTACAGTGTTCGAAAATTGTTGAAATAAAGAAAATTAGTGAATAAAATATTCATTTATGGCCAGCATAAAGTACTAGCATTCACTCTACAAAATGCTTTGGTTGTAGCTTTCGTAGTTATCGGAATTTATCAATGGCGTCATCTACAGGATGTCATCAACCTGATTTTAAGGTCTAAACCATCAGAACTGAATGACTTAAGTTTCGGCCACCAAGGGAACATGGATGTTCTCGACTTGCAGACACTTTCAATGAGTGGTTAGTACTTAATATTCAGTACCAAACTTACTTCACTTCAGCATCGTATCACTTTACCTAGTGACCATAATTTATAAGTGATTGGTAGACTTTACTTAGGATTTGATAGATACTTCGGTTACCAATCCTTAATCACTTCAGTTTTTTCGAACCGTCTTTCATACTCATCATTAGGTCTTAAATATAGTCCACTCACAAAGTTGCATTCTATACCGAATGTAATGCTATGCTGATATTTCTAGCTGTTTGATAATTTTTGTTTAGATTTGTCAGCAAGATCTTTTTAAACTCGAGGTTCTCTGGGTAGTTGTTAAATTTTCAGTTTTGTTCTGTGAATAATCCTGTTTTAGATGAAGAACCAGTATCATTTCTGCTCTCCACAATAGCGACATCACTCGTTTCTCAGGCATCACTTGCATTTCGCTACTGTATCTGAAGTCTATATAACCGAATTAGCTGGGGAAAAACTGAGGCTTACACCAGTGTGATTGCGTAATATCCTATTCCATGAATGCTTGAACGGGTATGTGGATACTATTGATTGATCTCCTTTATTTAAATAACTCCGCTGATTGTACTTTTTCAGTCAGTTTTGTTCAATCAGAATATAGGTGAATATCTCGATTTCAATAATTAATTACTGTCGATTTCAGTAGGTTTCACCTAGTCAATACAATTTCCTTGCTAGTAGACGAATTGATTACGTCTATAAGAAAGTAACAGTTAATTGTAGTTTTTTCATCAGGTTAATATTTTAGAAATTTTGGTACTCCCAGCAATTGGGACTTATACTAGTAAAAGATACAACGCGATGTTCATTGTGCATTGAGACTTTCAATGCTAAATCGCACTTTCTACCACCTAGACCAGAATCCAATACGATGACCTTTTAGACTTCTTAAGTGTTTATTAAGGTTTTGTACAGTTTTTATAATATTTCGCTACAACTTGAAAATGATGATAACAAATCAGTGCAGAGTTTTCCTTTGTTCAGTAGCTCAGTGATTATTGATGCACATTTTCAAAATGGATAGCTTTTCAGCAGAAAATAATTATGCGTAGGAAATTTGCAGCAAATGTGCTAACGTAGCTAAGACAAGTTTTGGTGTTCCTTGTTGTCAGTTTGCGAGACTAAATTTATCATTCTGTTGGTCTATGGGTTCCCGGTAAAGATCCCTCAAAATCGTTCGTAATTAAACCTGGGTTGTAAGTACACAACCAAGTATTAATGTACTTGATTGATTTTTCGTTAATCTTTTGAGAGAGGTTGATATCAAGCTTCCAAGGGCGAATTTAGATAAAAGAGAGTTATGTGGTAGTAATATAGGTGAGTTTTCTGCTGATTGCTTATTACTATCGCATCTTGAATTATTTTTCCGCTTATAGGTTTATAGAATTTACAGGTGTGTTGTTTTCTATGCTTTGAGTTCTGTGCTAATTGCGTTTTCGTTGCATTGTTGAATTTTGAAGTGACCATTGAATTAGATATGTGTCTTTATATATTGCTGTGTGAAAGTTGAGCTAATAATTTACCAAGTCACCTCTAACTTCAATATTCTGACTACAGATTCAATCTTTATGCTCCAGCTAACGGTAGATGATCGCAATGAACTCTAGAAAGTGACTCCAGTTCTTCGGGATTCTATTTTTGATAGAAGCATGGTAGCGCTTATTAAAGTTATCAGTAATATTTTTAAATGAAATTTCTATGCCCGACATGACAGTTACGAAACATGATCGTCATGGTATTACAGAAGTATTCAGCTAAAACGCTAGTTCATACTGACTGAAACTGTAGTCACCAGTGGAAAGCTGATTGATGTTTAGTAGTTTCTGCATTCGAAGTTATTGTAAGTCTGAAATTGTTTGTAATATTTCGTTATTCAGTGTCATCTAGTGTGACCGATGGAATTGATAAACCTATACATTACACATCAATTTATTGGAAGTGAAGTGCAAGTATTTTATGTAAAGATCTGTTTGACAGTAGTTTATCACACTACTGAAAAACTAAAGAAAGTTGCCCCTTAGGATTTCTAGAAATAAAATTTAAATAAGGACTTTTTTTCATAAAAATAAAGATACCACTTCAACGGTTACTAATTAGAAGAGGATATTAATGGCCTTGTCGTCATACAACAGTGCTATTCGTCTTTCAACAACTTGCTTACTCTATCTATCTATCTATCCTATGGTATTGCAGCCTCATGAAGTCAATTTGCATATCTCTCGATAAACAAGTATTGATGAGAAGAGGCTTGTTTCATCTACCTCTGACCACGATTAGGTGTGAAATCTATCTAGAAGTATACCGACTAAGTGGTTTTGTGATCGTGAACAGTGGTAGGCGGTGATAGCGGAAAAGACGAAAAAGGTATAAGTATTGGGTAATACTAAATATTTACTTAGGTTCGTTCAGGAAACTGATAAACCTTCAGGAAAGACCATCAAAGTGTTGTCCGAACACCTTGAAGAACGGCTTCACTGGCCTAGAGACACGCTTCAATTGGCCAACATGCAGTCCGAATATGAATGATGCGTAGATGTCGGTCACCCAACTCTCTTCGATATTGAGAAGGCTGCTTCAAATCTAGAATAATGCGCTGCGCAGCATCAGAAGCTGGCATTTGTTGACCGTCGGACGTTTTTAAGGACGGGGATAGAAAGTTACTCAGTAGAATAATATACGTGCAAACTAGTTTAGTGAAGTCAGAAGAAATCATCGCAGGTTTGTTTTGGTCGATCATCATTGCAGCTTGTAAGAAAGAAGAGGCCTTTTTGTGACAACTGGAAAGGAGTCAGTTTGATGAAGATCCTAGGGTTCATATTTATCCCACACCTAACTGGGATCTGAGAAGGGGGAAAGCAAGTAAACCAGGCAGGTTTCGGGTGAGGGCCAGGGTGCTTTGATCACATCTTCAGGTTAAAAGCACGGAAATATTCACCAGTCTCCATCAGTTGGCATATTTTTTGACCTGATTGTGATATCTGACTAGGGTCGATTGGCATGTGTTATGGTCATGCCTGATTGTGAAGGGAGTACCGAGCAATTATGTAGTGTTAATTAAGGCACTCTACACGAACTCATGGATTTGTGTTAGGGTTTACTGATGGTTGTCGTATGAAGTAACGGCAACCAGCGGTGTCCTCCAGGAATACCTGCCGTCACCTTTCCTGTAGAACTGTTATAGATGTTCTAATGACTATAACCCAGGTATCTCCAACTAAATGGATTGACTTACAGGAGGGCATTTAGTTGACTTGGAATACACAGATATCACAGACTAGTACGTGGACAAAATGTAGTCTCCTGAGTGATTTTGGAAGAAATCTGAGTATGTTTGGCGTCCGTTTTGGTCCTGTCAAATGTGAACCTATGCTCCAGTGCTGGTCTGAGATAACTTCTTATCTAAGGAGAGAGGGTGAAGTGGTTAAATGTGCTGACCATTTTCCTACTTGGGGAGCTACGTCAACTTGAATAAGCTGATTGCTGACGAAATCTCGGTTCGGATGGAGAAAACGTCTGGCATTTGCCAATTTACATCATTTTTGACGTCAGGAAGGTACCCGACTACCTATCAGAGGACGAGTATACTTTGCATTAATCCCTTGTGTCCTATTGTATGACTGTAAGACATGGCTGTTAAAAGTGGGTTTGAATAGGTCCTAGGTTTTTGATCAGTACTTTCAAAGCATTGGTTGCGTGTAGCGGTATGACTATTTGACAAATACCAACGTTAGGTGTAGAATACCGGGTAAGTCGATCGTTGTGAACTTTCTGTGACAGAAGTTGCTAGGGCATATATCACGCATGGCGAAACTTGAGTTATCACGGTGTTAGGAATCGATGTTTGAATACGATGCATAATATGGCTGAAAATCGGTCACCATGGCGCATTTGTACATTCTTTTTGTTTCTCTTCGAATTCCTTATCTATTTATTCTCTCTTCTCGGATGCTCTTTTGCCTACAACTGACTGAATAACCGACAAAATCAACGTAAGACCTCACACACAGGTGCGTCGGCTCAAGTTGCCACACCTCATAGTAGTACACAAAGAACAGATGGATAGAAAAGGAGTGATATCAAAGTAGACAGTTGTATGAGAGAATAAACAATTTGACGATTAAGGTCAGCGTAAATATTCAGGCTTTAGAAGATGTCAAGGAGTACACACATCCGCGCCATTGTGACCGATTTTCAGACATATCACCAAGAATCCTCAACCACTGATTACTGTCGCTTCGGGGACCCCAACCAAGAAATCTGCATCTTCCCACATGATTCAAACCAACAGTCAGAGACTTAAGTGAATGGTGCCCCATCTTAGTTTGGTCACCCTGAACCTTCGAACCTAATCCAACTTTCCTTAGCATGACATGGGACGTCAAGGTAGGCGGTGGCTCGACATGTGCAGTACATGCTCAAGTCATCTCAGTAGGCTACTACAGTCTACTACAATGCCACTCTTCCTCTTTCCAAGCGGCTGTGAATTGTGGCAACTTGGATTGATGCGACTTTTTCCATGTTATACATTGATTTGTCGTTCTCTATTTGTCGTATTAGCATTTCAAAGTCTTGACTGAAATATAATTAAAACATAATTATGAGGATATCATGCGTGCAAACAAATTCTAACTTATGAAATCATGAATCGATTTACCGTATCCTCATTTAACTAATGCTGGTAACTGTTGAGTTCTTCATTTTTGTATGCATCTCTGTCATGTTTTGTGACTATGTTGTAATTCGGCTAAGAATCACACCAACTTTATGTCTGTTCTAAACAACTACAATAGAAATCAAGACAATAGAACATCCACAGACAAAAATACTGGCTTGTAGGACGATGAATATCGGTTGTCTATAAACAGACAATATTTTTAACATTTTTATGGCATTCACAAAATATAGTGATTAATTTGATAGAAATAATGTAATTTTTTAGCAATTTGATTTTTTCATTTATTCGAAGTGAATTTAGTTTGTGGGACTGAAAGTAGTACTAATTATTAAGTAGTACGTTTTCTGTAAAATGCATATGTTGCCTAACATCTACGTAAATTGAATATCCTTTTTCCACTTGTGATAGGTTGACGATGCATATTTATGATTCACCCATTAGTATAACCAAATTGTCGAGTATCTCATGACTAACTTTTCAGTAAATTAGTTTGTAAAAAGATAGTTCTTTATTCTGAAATGCAACCTACACTTTCCCTCACATGATAAAATTTTTAAAGGTATCAGATACATCCTTTTTTCTGTGCAAAGTATTGATTCGCTTCTGTACAGATTATCAAGTTTTCACCCTGTATCTCATTTTCTTTCATTAATGCTCTTAGTGTTCTTGGTTCTCCTGTTATTCAGTCCAACGATGAATATTCTATTATTTAAATTTTACACTTTCTTTGTTTAGACTCTCTAACCAATAGTAACATTTTATTTTGTGTTATGGTAAAACCTTGGAGTAGATTAAACGCAGATGTTCACTTTTGTGGTCCAAGATCTATATTCTTGTGTCGAGTCTTTTATATTATCGAGATACTTTGTGGTAAGTAATGAGGAGTAAAATATGTTTCTTTAGCGATAATAGGAAAATATTTTTATCTCTCTCTCATTTTTTTTTCATTTGAAAACCCCCCAAAAAAGGTTAACTTATGTTAGAAGTAGTCGACTTAAAGCGTGATTTTTTGGAGCACTTGTTTCTGGTCAACTTTACATTTATTGATCATTATCAGTGATAATAAATAGTTCAGAAAAGCAAAATATAAACGAATCAGCATGAATACAACCGATACACCTCATTATATCGTAAACCTTGTATACAATAAAAAGGTGTTATTGGGTATTTTGGCTGCTGTTAAGTTTCTCCTACAGACAAACTCAGTAAAATAAACATCTTTGCTTACCTCTTTATTAAGTCCTTAGATGAGGTGAATTAGAACAGCACTCCCTTTTATTTTATAGTGCTTAAAGTTAGATACTATTGTTTAATTCACCTGTTTCCAAATATTTCACTTTATTCATTTATTGTTCTTTTATTTTGTATGCTTACGATAGGCTTGCAACAACCGGCTTCTCACTGTAACATTTATCGAAGGTGGTAAGTATGAAAAGCCGATAGGAACTGTTTTTGTGGGTTCATCTCCAGAATTCGATATTGCTGTTTTTACAGTTTCATTCTTGTTCCATCCAGAAGAACGTTTTGAGGTGAATATAGCAGGATGCAAAGTGCACCTTATATGTTCTAAGATGCCATCTTCTGAAATCAATACTACTTATTTTGAATGAATGGCATTTTTTTCAGAAGAGATAAAGAAACGTTATTTCATTGGACCGAAAGTCAATGATGAAGATTTTTCTATTCTATTATTCAAACAAATAATTTCTATAAAACATTTCTTTTCTTTCATAAGAAATTGAAAATATTTTACTTTACTGAAAATATTTTTATGAGTTTCCCATTGTTATCAGCTAACGAACATGATAGTGTATGTGTTTTCTTCATAATCCAGTACCAGACAATTATCGATCCCTATATGCTTCTTGTGGTTTTGGGGCAGTTTGTTGTCAATCCTCTTTCTACGTTTACTTCTGGATTTATTCAACATATTAAATTCCTCGTCAGGAAGATATTTCACCAAAAGGATTAATAACTGTTTTTTTAAAGATACAAGTCATTTTTGAAAGTATTTTGAAAATATAATGGGAACGCATAAAATGTGGGGACTGTTAATCATTAAGAGGAAAATGCATCTAAATGATGCGTTCCAAGGAAGATGAAATGAGGGCTCAGAATTTCACTGCTACTCACTTTCAAAGTTTAGATACAAACTGTCTGTGTGAGGATCTTATACGCTAGTAGACACTGAGGAATTCAGTTTTACTGGTCAGCAGTGAAAAACATTAAACTGCAAATTCGCACACGAATAATAGTAGACGCAGCAACTGATCAAACCTAACCTTTAGAGAATATATTGAAAATATTTATCTCTATCTTGAACACCCAACTGCCAAATAAATTCTTGCCAACGTAGTCTTTAGTGTTTGGGTACATGCTTTGAGAATAAGTCAGACATTCTATTTACTATGGAAGTAAAACTGTTTTATTCAACAGTCAGAACAACTTTATTAAACTTCTTAGTGTATGAAAAATGGAAGACAGTTTTCTTTAAGTACTGAAACTGGTTAAAAAATTGCAGTATATTCAAATCTTTTGATCTGTCAACGATAGGCAATCATAGCACGTAGTTATCTTTTAACCAGCAGGTCATGTGTCCGAACATTCCCCAACTAACAGAAAGTATCATACGGTCTGTTATAATAATTGTGACTTCTTGGATGGCTCATTCACCTGGACAGGATTAGTTGTAAGCCAATCAAAACTGCTCAGTAGCCGAATCAAGGCGATCTAAGCTGAATGGACCAAGCTTATCAGTTACATACCTGGAGTAATCTCACCCTTAGTAACGAGTCATTCAAACCCTTTTCGTTCCAGATAACTGCATTGTGTTCTTGGTGACGTTGATGGTATGTGGAGAAGATACTATGGTTTTGGATGTTCCTATTTTCAAAAGAATCCATGCCGGGATTTTTTTATTTGAGTTGTATACAAATGTATTTTTCACCCTTCGGATTGTGTATCTTGCAAAGGTAAGATTCATTTCAGCATGGACTTCAACTGGTATCTTTAATATGTTGATGTAAGAGAATCAGAGAAAGGGTGTAGAACAAAATATTCTTAGCTAGCAATTGTTTTCTAAATAGTTAGTTATGACAAACTGATTCTTGAGTATCATTAAACATGGGGAATATTTGTAGCTCAGGTGGATGGTCTTGGTTGTATTGTATTCTCTGACCAAACAACTCAGCTCAGAGAACACAATAAAACCAATATCATTGAACATCTAGTGAGTCCATATGCTCGGATTTTGGAGTAGACTTCTGATTATCATACCACGGGAACCTCTATTCCTGCACCAAGCACCGTTTTGAGTAGAGCTATCAGCGTTTTGTAAATTCAGTCAGTTCGCCATACAGCACGACCATCCCCAGACATTCATCCTTTCGATTCGATAGACTGTAGATGAAATGGTTTTCTGTTTAACTTTCAGGATGCTTATTTTAAAATAAGTCATTAATGAGTTACATATGGATATAAAATCGTAACTCTATTGATGTTGAGCCCTAGATAACATATTTTTGATCAGAAAACCCCATATTGTAGAAATTTCATCCTATAGGATCCAATTAATTGCTCAGAAGCTATAAAATTATAATGATTTCCATTCTGTTTCTTTTCAGTGCGCTAAACACTTGAAGTTGTTATTAGCTTACTGATTCATTATGAACTTTGAGTATGTGCTGTAAACACCAACTATTGACAGGTTTATACTTGGCACTTAGTTGTTGCAGTGACTAAGTAAACGGGCGTTACACTCCTACCGCTGGTGAAGATACACTATCTAAGTGATTACGAATTTCTGAATTGTGATTAGGTTAGATGTCGTACGTGTCGCTGGTGAATGAGTAATATCAAGAATGATACCTGCAGTTGCTCTCACGTTAGTCTGAACGTGAGCGAATACCGACACCGAACTGTAGCAAGCGGCTTTTGATAAGTTTGTGCCTAACCTGTAGGTTTTTTTCCAAAGGTTAAGTGAAGTAGTCTAGTTTGGACATTTGTATTAAAAAGGTATCGTCAAAATATTCTGCATAAAATGCCTTTCTTTTGATAGCTGGTGGTGACTTTGTGATAATAATGTCGAGGTTTGACTAATAATACTATCTTATACCCGATGAACTGTTTTTATTGCATAATTTATAGTTGAACATTTATTAGGCGTTAACTGTGTAATTTTCTGAACTATATTTTGCATCAGTATTACACGACGTAAACAATTCCAATATTCAGAAAACTGTTTGCCTGGGACTGAGAGGCGCTCAGTAATTCTATTTTGCGGTAGTTGGATGTCATGATAAAGCCAGGATTCAGGTGACTAATCCGACGGCTCCTGTTCCAGGTTCTTCACACGAAAAAGTGTTATTTAGTCCTAATTTTGTTTTGCAACAAAACAACTCAAGCCCCGCTTTATCCATACACGACAAACTCAACATATGCGTCAGGCCATTGGTAGAAACAGTACCTGACTTGATGGACTCTTGCCAAAAAATGATTTCTGTAACTACTTGCCTTTTCAAAAAGTCCACCGACTAGTTGTTAGATAGTAAGCTGGTGAAATTTGACGATTCAAGAATCTACAAAGAATGAAGAGAATGGTCAACTGTGACTGACGTTTCCATGTCGAACACACTAACATCGATTCTTGTCGGTATCAATAGCGGCAAATGACGAGGTTTTCTCGTTTTCCCATCATTGCGTGAGATATAATTATTTGATCCACTTTGAGGGAATTAAGGTTTCCTTCAAATTTCAGAGTTGTAATACTCTAACAATAGGTTCCATTTTTTCCCCAGCTGCCCGTAAAAATTAGTACATGGAGAATTCGTTGATATAACTGAATACCCAGTCACAAGGTATTCTCAAGATGTCATAATACTATAGGCCAACCAAGTAATTAAACTCAGTAAAGTATCTATCCACAAATTCTTTTGATCAATAATATGATGTGATAATGGATATTTTCAGCCCTTATGCATTCCAACACCTAAAATATTGGGTGATTGTTATGAAGTAGTCACCAGTAATCTTTAACTTTGACAGAAAGGTTCCATATGAAAGTACTTTATTTTTACTTTTTAGTTGGAGCAGATTATAAAGCACATAGTACTACTAACCTACTTGAGTAGTTGGAAAACAGGCTGAAATGTAGATTTTGCTAACCAGATGATTGTGGCCTAAGCACTGAATAACAGTTTCACTCGTTTGGAACTGAGCTTAGCTGTGTATTCAGACAAATTCAGCTCACAGAGCCGAATTAATTCGGATCATTTGAATCTGTCTAACTGAACTGCATGGACCGGTACATCTAAAATAGCATGATCAATTGCAAATGGTTTATAAATTACAGGCTGCACAGTTGACGTTTCTCACACCCGAGTAGTTTTTCAACTATAATCTGTAAATCATTTGGGAGTTGAACATTATACATATAATAAAGCTTTTTCAAGTCTGAAGGTATGTAATTCTTCATCTGGTGATTTATGAAAACAGTTTTTTTCGAATACAGCAATAAAAGTTGCAGAAATTCTTTTTCTTATCTTCCAAAGGGTGGGTGTATAAATACCACATAGTATAAACACCTCTGGCTGACAGTGTGCTATATTGAATGGAACGCATTTATACACCCATTGATTAGAAATCAGTGTCTGCTAACTGACTTACTGATTATAACTGTTTAACTTTTTGCTGTCTGATACATAGTTCTGTTACCTCAGTTATATCTTATCTTTTACGTAAGTGACTGTTTATTTCATTATTGATCGAGTTATTGAATACACAAATACAAACAGCTATTTGATTGCCAGTTTTGTTTTTCTGTACGCAGTTGGACTTTCAAGATTGCAATGCTTTGATCATAGTGAGTGTATTGTCATAAAGTAGGTACTGAATTCAGCCAACCCTCCTACTGTTCTGTTAACCGCATTTTACTCCCGTATTCCCTTCTTACACAGTTTTGTAGCAGTTACACTATGCCTACATCAATGGATTATTCCTCTGTGTTAGCTCAAAACCATCCGTGTAGCAAAAGAACACAGCACATAAACTAAATACAGTGCACAATATCTTGTGTTGAAAACTGCTGGTAAAAAATTTTCAGTAAAGGATTGAATTAATTAGTACAGTAAATGTTCAATGTCAAGAGGACTTTCTGCTGCCTCTCAAATTCCGTTTTAGGTTTTTTACTGTTTCTAAAGGAAACCCTGCTAATTCGTAATAACCAAAAAATTTAAAAGTAGTTAACATCCAAAACTGTTTAACATAAGATATTGATTGGTCACGGGGGAGTAACAAACTTCATGTTGTCTAATCCTAAGTACTGATCGAATTCTATCAATAATTTTTTTAATGTGACTACCAGACTAAGCAGCTCGTCATCACGATGCACTTTGATTGATGTTAATTGGATGGAGGCAACCGGCAGGAAGCTCTAAATCTAGGTTTCGTGCTTGTCGGCACTCGTAGACAAGGCATGTCTGCAGCTTCTACGGAACTGGTGTTCCGCCTGGGAGTCGGTTTCGCATTACCTAGTGTTGCAGTCAGAGATATTTCCACTGAGCTATTCGGGCTGTGACTGACTTAATGTAGGACTGAGTTAGATACCTATCAGGAAACTACTTACCTTTAATCGAATGATTCAAGTTTCACTGAAATCAGCTGTGAGTAACGGTAATAATATTCAGCTCAGTAGTAACGTCTGACTGCAACACTATAACGTGGGTTTGAATCTCAAATGGGGCATCAGTTTCGTAAATGTTGCAGATACGCCTTGCTGAGGAGTGTCGACAAGCACGAAATCTAGGTTCAGAACCTTCTACCGATTGCCTCTATCCAACTAACACATCTATATTTCTCAGAGTTGCTGCGCTTCATGTCAGGGTATCGAAGGAAGACTCAACAGGAGGAAAGGTGAGTAAAAAAGAATGAATAACTATGGTAGTTCTAATACGTTGGATGAAAAAAAGACAAAGCAAACAGATAAAGACAGTAATATTACCGCTTAGATTAATTAATACGTAAAGGTTTTGAACTGCAGAATTCAAGTTTAAGGTAGTTCACCCAGAGTCTTCAGTTAGCGATTCCAGCTGTTACGAGAACGCGAACTGGAAAGATTTAAATTAGTCCAACCAATAATCAAAGAATACATGGATTGGAACAGTATTCATACATAGACTGTTAGTGAGTCTTCACCCTTATTATTCATGATGTATTGCAGTAGAAGGTGGCCGAGAACACGCAACACGCCGCAATCACCGGTTCGATGAAAATTTGTTAGAATAAAACAGAGATGTACTCAGTATTCATGTGCAGTAGGCAATAAGCTACACCTTTTGTGTGGGCGCTTGTGATACCAGTTGGTTGCTCACACCTCGGTGGACAGAATAGCGTATGAACCTGTGGTCCACTGGTTGAAATTCAACTGCCTAAACCAATGACCTACAGCTCTACGAAGACTTAGCCTCATTGACTGACTTATCTACCGTGACCACTACTTTCCATTCGACATCTGCACACCTCATATAGTTGTTCCATAACATGTGGATAATGCCATGAGGGTAATGATGGCAAAGTGCCTGAAGTTAACCCCAACGGTTATGCTTTAAACCATAGAATAGAATAGCCTGTACTACACAGTATACTTACTCCTTAGGAGCATTCAGGTTCATACGTGAAGTGGCATTAATTAGTAAGTACCAGAGCGAGTGATAACTACAGAGAAAAAAGGCTCCTAATCTGTTTTGAACAAATTATAGTCTGAATGTGAATTTAACAAAAACCATCCGAGCAAAAGTAAGCCAATAGCAAAGAAGTTGGCGTTTATCGAAAGTTAGGACAAGAAACGTCAATCATAATCGTGATGGTGTATTGATATGTAAAAATCTTTACGGGGAATTAGAGTTCAATTATCAAAAAATACAATGGTATGTAATATTCACACACACTAAAAGGCGAAATCAGGTATGTTATCAGCGTTTTGACCAATTAAACGTTTCAGTCCCTACCTTACTGTCTCTTTCCTCTGACCACTGAATCTTGCTGACTAGCTTATAAAGAAAAGCATAATACCCAGATAACACTTCCTCAGTGAGTTACTAACATTTGGTTCTGCATAAATGATAACTGCTAAGCACTTGATTACTTGAGATAAAAACAGTAGAAAACTGAAAATAAACTCGTAAGACAGATGAAATCAACGTAGGTCCTCGTGCACAAGTGCACCAATTCAAGTTTCTACACTTTAGTACACAAAGACATATATCCTACTTCCAATGGCCATGTTTCACAGCAATATAACAGAACAGGCTGGACTTCAGCGCAGTATACTCCTTGTTTGACATACAGCTGGATATCTCACCAGTGGGCAACACATGACGCAAGTTGTCAAACACGAAACAAGCCATTTGTATCAGGGTTAGGATTTCATCAGCAACCAGTTCATTTCCACTGATGAAACATCCCAAGTCGGTGAATTGGTCAACGCATCCCACCACTTTACTCCAGACACTTAAAATTGGAAGTATTTGCAAACCAGTTATGAAGGATTAGCTTAAATTTCATAGTTGTGAAATGCGGGTCAAACATACTCAGATTTCTGGTTAAGGTGTTCATAAACCCTACCTTTTGTCAGAAACACCATGCACCTGTGCATACTCCAAGTCAACCAGATGGCCTTCTAGGAGTAGATCAATCTCTGTGAAGTCAAATGTATCTAGAATCACGTATACCTACAACGAATGTAAACAGAAATGGTGACGGAAGGCATCACTAGTTGTTGTGGTTCTTTCGGATGACAACTCTCAACAGGTGCTTACACTGACGCCAGTGAAAGGCTTTGTTAAGGGTTACACACTTGCTCGTTACTCTCTTCACGGTAAATCACTGTCACAACACCTCTCGGTCGACAGAGTGGCGTGTCGTCCTCAGGTCAAAAATATGGCAGGAAACGGCTATCTGTATGTATGTCTGTATTCCACAGACTGAGAAAAGGTGAGGAAGTGATTGGTGAACCCTCGTTCAGATCTGAAATTTATATGATTTTCTCCAGTTTGCAGTTCTTGGGCTCTAGTTAGGAATCGTATCACAATGGACCCTAGGATCTTGGACGTCACTTTTTTCAAAACGATTCCCTTATGGTTGTAATAAGAGGACTGCTCTCCGTTCTTACACAGTGGTGATCAGTAAAGTAGACCACTGTGACGGGACTACCTCTGACTTCCATACATTACCTATTGCCTCTGTTATACTACACAGTAGTTCCCTACCACCGTCTTTAAAAAGCTTATAGTGAGAAACGTCAGGTCCTGATGCCCTGCATCGTTTCAGGTTGGTAACAGTTTTCTCAGCATTGAGAACAGCTGGAGGACTGGCATATTCGTCTCATTAAGGTTCGGCATGGATGCTGGGCGAATGAAGTGTTGCTTTGGATCAGTTGGACTGAGCTTCAAAGTGCTTTCAAAGTCTGTTCTGAGCGGTTATCAGGGTATCATCCTTTTTGGCAAAGATCTCACTAACCGTCGTTTTCTTCTAACCGGTGTCCTTAATAGATATACAACTGCCGGTTATTACCTAATGCTGATGCTTTTGTAGTGCACCTTCTTGGTACCTAAGTGCTATTAGGTTTAAAATAAATAAATAAACATTTGTACGGCGTTGGCGGATGACTTTAGTTCTGTTTGTTTTAACGTGTAGGCACCGCTCGTCGACATTCGCTATTTTCGACTTCTCTCATTTCTGATCAGTAGAAACGAACCCATAGTCCCTAGCTCAGCCATTGATTGCCAGATAAGGTTAACTTTCCTACCTTAAAATTACCTGTTTGTATCTGACTAAGAAGTAACTGCTCATCTCAGCACTTTTACCATACAACGTGCTTTCTTATTTTTCTTTTGTGATTAGTGTTATTCACCTAGGTAAGGAACTGATTAGTTTAGTGCTGGGGTGCACTAATTTACATGAGACTGGTCAAGCGTAAACTGACAGTAACACAACCAGACCCTTACGTCTTTTCCATCTCTATCGCTTTCGATACTCATAACTGCTCGGCATCATTGCAAAGACTCTTGGGTAATTTACATCTGAGCTGCTCTCGCTACTTATTGTGATCAGACCCAGCTGGAATGAACCCTCTACTATCAGTCAGTTCGGATGACGTTTTACAAATCCACAGATGTTTGCTAAACTTGGGTGAGAGCTACCAATTGTCTCTGTAGTTGTTTCTTATTATTTTTTATAATTTGTTCCTCGGGTTCCTAGTAAAATAAAATGCTTCAGTAGCACGTTGTCATTTCACTCTCTCCTCTGCACTCTTTTTAACCTGGCTCCACCATTTCCCACAAGCTTTCATTTCTTCCTCACACCATCTCCTACATGTCACCATCAGCTCAGATGCTCAACTCGTCGTCTCCCATTTGGCTTCCACTAGACGGCCTCGCATAGCACGTGATGTCCCCATCCCATCTCCACTCTCCTCTGCATATTTGTTTGGCGATAGCTTCTGGTTGGTTCGTTGCCATGCCACAGTTCCTTGTTGCTTATTCTTATTATTATGGCCATCTGATATGATCTTCAGTGTTTAGCGTAGGCACTTGTTGATGAATGTCTGTAGTTTGCTGGAAATCCTTTTCGTAACACCCCATTAAGTCTCTTAACCATCACATAGAAGCACCGACTTGACTTGTTCACAATTTATGCTGAGTGCAGTGTAG